TAAACAAGTAAACTAGGAAAACCAGAGCTTTTTTATTATTTACAGGTTACAGCCGCGGCGTATTGAGCTGAAGATCTTGGGTTCGAATCCCACTCGTGACTCTAGCTTTTTCATCTCAACCAAGACCTTACATAAAAGGAATAATTAATTGAAATATCTGGAAAGTTCTTTGTTTCGCTTTTATTTATTATTTGTATATTNATATATATAAACAGTTCTATATATTTTGTTAAGTCGTTTATGAATTCTTGTTTTATGATAGTTTGTAATGACTTATGAAAGACGGTGGTAAACCATGTCGTATTTACTTTGGATGTAAATAGGATCCACTAGTGTAAACAAAATTTTTGTTCTATTCCATGCTATTCCATTAGCGGTTGAATTAAAACAAACGTGCTACTTCTGCGGGATGAATAGTGAAACGCAAATACTTGTTGCTTAAGGTAAAACGATTCTATTTCCTGATTGTCTCGTAATAAAATCAACTCCTGGTAATTTGTATAATTAAATATATTCTCTTGTTTTGTTTTTTTATTCTTTAGGACTATTGAGCCAATTAGAAATAGTCAAACGGGCTCAATTTTGAATTGCGGATAATCGCAATCAGTCGGAGGAGTCATGCCGGTCACAATGGCCTGTCAGCTGCTTTTGTTCCACAGCGGGAAGCATTGTTTACCCCAGACCACGTTGACATTTAATTAACATGCGAACCGTCGGATTTATCAATAAGGGCGGAATGGGGATGGAGTTCGGAGGTTCGGAGGGCGGAGGGTGCGCAATAAATCATGTCCGCAAAGCGTGAATGAGTCGATTAAAAGAGGCGATTTGCGTTCAATTTCTGTGGAAAAGGGTCGGAAATTTAACGTACGTCAAGGGAATAAACGCTGTTTCGGGTTAAAATATAGGACCGAGATCGGTGTGTACAGTCTGAACCAGAAGTTCATTAGCTTTTGTAAACTTGAGGATGGCGTGGCTTTTACTCTGGACTCCGCGAGACGCGAGTTTCACCGACGTTTTCATTCACTTTGGATTTGTCTTATTCAAATAACAACTCGACACTCCATAATCTCGGAATGGCGAGGTTTTCAACAAAAGACTATTGTGTCGGCTATTGTTCCCTTTCTTAACAATAATGATCCTAATAATCATAATAAAGGCCAATACGGCGTTTTTTCAAATTTCATACAGTGTCAAAAGATAAATAAAATAAAACAACATAGCAATAAACAGGCATCCTCAGATTTCCCAACATAAGAAAAAATTTTATCAAGTTTTAAAAATTCCAAAAATAACCAACTCAATTTTTTCCACAGGCGGTCAAAGGTTTATCTTATTATTTTCTTAAATTATAATTTTTTTAAACTTATTTTTTACCTATACATGCTAGTATAATATACAAATATGTACACATGATTAATGTATCATACAGCACAACACTAGCACTGATGCCAGCACTGCACCGGTAGAACACATGCTTTGAGGAGCCATTGCTGGCCCTCAGTGTGCTTGATTAGGGGTCAAGATGGGAATGAGTGGAAAGGGCTCCAGCAGTATGGTTAGGATGATTCAAAAGGTTGGTATGGAAATTTTGGAATCTGGACCGGATCGGTTCGTTGACAAAAGGAATGTTGAGGTCATTGTGGATAGTGACGTAATAAGGAGCATTGACAAGAGGTGACAAGGCGGTCCAGAGGCCACCGTCGGTTGAGACGACGTTGCGGGTTGTCAGGTTAGGAATGAGTGGAGAGGGCTCCAGCAGAATGGTTAGGATGGTTCGAAAGGTTGGTACGGATGGTTTGGAATCTGGGCCGGATCAGTTCGTTGACAATGTTGAGGTCTTTGTGGATAGTGAGGTTAGTGACATAATAAGGTGCTTTGACAATTTGTCTAAGGACTTTCGGCTGGAAGTACTGGATGTGTTGGATATTAGGATGGCTTCGTAGTTCCACTCCGTATGTCCATATTGGTCTTAGTAAAGTCTTGTACAGTGTTAGCTTTGTATTAATTGTCAAAATCGATTTTGGTCTTAGAAGTCTTTGTAGTAGTCCAAGTCTTGTATTAAGTTGTTGTTTTTAAGCCTTGTGTGAGGATTCCACGTCAGTCTGCTGTCGAGATCTAGTCCCAGGTATTTGGCTTGAGTCGAAACTGGTACCTCTTTGTTGTTGATGTTCAATATAGGGCAATACTGCTTTTTCAGCGTAAAAGTACACTGAGTGCATTTTTCTTCGTTCAGTCTTGTCCTCCGTTTTTTACACTAGTCTTCGATCTCAAGCTGTTCCTGGACGTTGGAGGTAGCTTGGAAAGGAATCGATTTAGAGGATAGGATTGCGGTGTCGTCCGCGTAGGTGGTGATAATAGTGTCAGGGAGTATTCGTAGGTCGGCAGGGTAAATGATATATAGGATAGGTCCAAGGATACTACCTTGCGGTACACCGTTTAACTTCCGAGTATTCATTGCCGCACCTCACTCTTGTTTTGTAAACAAATTTTTTTATTTACAAATTATAAATAATACACAAATAAGATACACCATAACTACCACGAAACTGAAAAAGATATGGATAAGAGACCTTCTCGATTGAATGTGGATGCTTCAGATCTCTTTTTTTTAAACTCAGTACTCTAAAAAACAGCCCAGAATAAATTAAATCTGTTCTTATTTTAATTAAAGAGAAAAGTAATACGCTTTCTTTTTAACAAAATTTTTTAATTCATAAATTCTCTCGTTTACAAAAATTACTAAGTGCGTTAGAAACGTTTAGATGATTCAGGTCTCACTTTGGTTAAAATATACAACATTCTAAAAAGTAAACAAAATTGATTAAACTTATTTATTTGTTTTTATTATATAAATGAAATCGGTTTGTTTTTAGGATGGATGCTTTAAAAAGTAATTGGCTGGTGTATAAAAATAAACAAGAATATGTTGGAAAGTACCCAACATTGAATAAACCTATTAAATATTATATTATTATATTATAATAAAACTATTGCAATTAAAGAGAATGAACGGAGCTTTTTTAATTAAAATTTTTAATTCCAAAATTGTCTTTAGTACAAAAATAACTAAGAGATTTGGCAACTTTTGGGTGCAATAGATCTCACTTTTTTGACAAGATTCTCAAAAAGTAAACCAAATTGATTGAACTTATTTTTGTTTTAAGAGGACGCAATGGAGTTTTTTCTTAGTGTGGAAACTTTTAACAGAAATTATCTTGTAAAACTAAAGAAGAATATTGGAAACCTTGGGTCCCCTCTGATCTTGTTATATATAAATTCCAAACTTTGCAAAAAAAACTGTTCAAAATTTATTTAACATTTTTGTTAATGAAGGAAAGAAATATAGTTCCTTTTGTACCAAGTCATAATTCAAAAATTCTTTTAGAAAATTAAGCAAGAATTATGTACGAAACCTTTCGCCTTATTAGATTTTATGTACTTTTATTTCAAATTATCACTATACAATTTTAATTAAAATTAAATAGTTGGCTTTTTTTATTATGAAGGTTAATAGAAATGATCTGGACCTTTCAGACTTTGTTTGAAGGAAAATCATTCAGAAAATTTTCAAAATATATAACATTTGTTTTTTTAAATAACTGGAAAAGATAGAGCTTTTTGTATTAAAATTTTTAATTAAAAAATTATCTCGTGTATAAAAAATTACCAAAAGCGTTAGAAAGAGTTGGGTGCATCAAATATCGCTTTTTGTTGAGCTCTCATCAATATTAAACAGTAAACACAATTTATTAAACTCATATTTTTAAACTGGATACAGACAAATAGAGTTTTGTCTCACAAGGTTGGTGAGACACAGATTTGGACCAAATTTTTTTGGTGAGTCTAGATTCCAAAATACTGGACACGTGTTCACCACTTCTTGTGAATAGACCGTGGTTATGTCAAAACAATTTTTGAAAGTTGAAATTTTATGTTTTTTTAATATTTTTATTTCTACGTCCTACTTGCTCGAACCTACTATGTGATTATATAATTTTGTAGAATTTATTTCGTAGATTGCAATAAAAACATAGTAAAAGCTATCACAGTTATCAATAGCCAAAATATTTCTAAAAACCAAATATTTTTCCAATAAACTAAGTCATAATTTTTTTCGTGAAACTAACATGAAATTTCGTTTTAACAACCCCTAAATTAAATTTTTATTTGAATTTAAATTTGTCGACTGTTTGACCCCTATTTTTTCGGTTTTTAATAAATCGTTATCGGATTATCTGATTTAAACGGTTGCAAATCAAAAACGGCATAAGAGAATATATAATATTTGTATAAGAAAATTCTCAAAATATAAAAAAAAATTGTCAAAAATTAACTTCGTTTTTTGAGAATGAAAATAATAGCCCAATTTTAATGTTTCATACAGTTATAAAATTGCAACACTTGATAATTAATTTCGAACAATTATGAACTACAAAAATTTGTTTACTAGATTTTGAGAAAAATGATGTTAGACCTTGCACTACGAATGTAAGTCAGGTCGAAATTATCAGTCAAAAAATTAATTTACGCCGATTTCCACAAAAGTCGGTAGTTAAGGGTTTTTTTAGTTTAGATTATTTTCTGACCTACTTTGCTTGCAAAATTTTTCTTAAAATATGCAAAAAAAAGCAGTATTTTGTTGATTTATCTATCTTGGAATTTGAAATATTCTGAGCCGTAGAACATTTTTGTTTTTGTGTTAATTTACAATGAAATTAATACACCAAAAATAATATTTTTGTAAACTACAAATAACCATCTATTCTCATTTAATTAATTTTTTTTAAAACGACTAATTTAATTGCCTAAAATTTATCTGGAAGGATTTTTTTTCTATAAGAAATAGAGAATAGGCTGCTAAAATTTAAAGACAGATCTGTACGTAAAACCGAGAATTTCATGCGGATCAAAATAACTAATTGAACTTTTTTTTCTAAAAAATAAAAGGAAAATCTATGACTATTTAAAATAAAAATATTAGGTTTCAATAAAGTACTCACCTGTAGTCTCTGACTGCTTCCCAGTCCACACTGCAATAATAATTTTCAAGTTAGCTCTAAATTTTGAACTAAATTTTTTTAAATGTTGAAACGTGCGATGAAATAATGTTTTCAATGAGGCGAAGTCAAAGGCACAGATGAGGTACATGAATGATTTTTTTTTTTATAATAGTGGGGTGGGAAGGACTTGAACAAGTATTTTCTGCAGGGCTCGCAGAAGAGGGTGCAAACAAAATTCCCGGATTAATAAAAAGAAGGACGTGTCAGAAATTAATTCTTCTCCTTCTTCACCTTGTGAATTCGAGATAAAGGTGAACGTCCAATTCTGGTAACGCCCTTCTGTTTAGACTAATTTATCAAGAGCCGTTACTTCTCCTTGACTGGCACGGCAGTCGGATTATCCCGCTTAAGAAGGTAGTGAAATATTAATGGTGACCAAACAAACTCCTTAACGTTGATCCATTATTCATTTTTCCCGTCTCATATTTCATTTCGTTCCTCGCCTCGGAAGGACGATCGTTTGTATTCTACAATTTACAAAATACCCTAAAACTCCTATAAGGTAGATTGTGACGTTAAAATTTATAATTAAGTCCCGACGGATAAACCATTAATTGGATGACAGTCTAATTACTGGTTGGAAATATTAATTAATTCGAGATTAATCATACGGGTTTATACAAATGTGCTTATCGTTAATGAATCGCGTATCGACTGTACAATAGTAGAATTATTATCGTTTTAAAATAATAAATTCAATTAATCTTAATGGCCCTTTCAAAGACTGCCAAAAGGACTGTCAGGTTTTGCTCCTTTTTTTAAGAAAAATTTAATAAAAAGCAACGTTTATCCAGAATATAGTACGGCATAAGATCCGCCAGGTCATATTTCTTTAAAATAAACTTGAAATAAAAAGGCCCTTTTGCCTTAATTTTGATGAGATTATTAGATCTGTAGGTCGGTGGAGAAATATCAAGTATTGCACCGACTAAACTCGCCGGTGGCCATACAACTTCGCCTGTGCGTATGACCTTCGTTGTCACCCCCGGCCTCGAGGGATACGAAGGATCGGACCGTCGAAGCATATAGCGTTAAGGACCTTGACACTATGCCTTCGGTGTCCCTCGAATGCGTACAGGGTGTGGATGGGGAACGGCGAAGTGCAACAAACAACCTATCCCGCGACCTCTTGCCTACTTGCGGCTCCACTGTTAGGGTCTCTTCGGAGGCTGAACAAAAGGAGGATAGCAACTGTTCATTCAGTGAAGTAGCAGGATTGGGGCGGCTGGGCTTTGGGGGTAGAGCGGGTCCGACCTGAAAAGGTTCGCCTGCGAAGCCCCCGAGGACGCCATTGCCCGACCAACAGTAGCAAATACCATTTGGGGCGGGATGATTTCTGGGGAAGAGTGGGCACCCGAGAGGGCGAACCTGCGAATTTCCGTGAACACCAGTTACCCTGTGTGGAGAGACTCCTCTCCTCATGAATGCCTCAATGTGGAGAATGGATACCTGAGAATGAACAGCTTTAATCCGTTCGGCACACATTCTCGGATTCGTCCCTCGAGATGAATGGTCGGGATGATGTCGACTAGTTCGTTGCTTGAACGGCCATCTCATCTCTCTTATCCACCCAGGGGAGCCATAGCCCACTTAATATGGAACTACGGTGACAATGGGTAGTACAGTGTCGACGAGGCGGGAGGTGCAACCTGAAATGGCGAGCCTCGTGTCCTCGTTTACTTCCTTTTCTCAATCCAGACCCTTCGGCACTTTTCTTTGAGACCTCTCCCAACCCTTGGTTACAAGGGGGGTATCCAGGCGCAAAATAATGGTGCAGTCTTGACGGCGTGGCAACCTATCTAAAGCACAAGCTTGATTCTTGACGGCTGCCGGGTCGGCAGGGGACGGCGGGTGCTTTATCACAGGTACACGAGGGTTATAGTACCAGATCCTGTCTGCATAGACGTGGTAGGGTGCATAACTATCTGTACTATGGTGGAGCAAATATGTTCCAAAATTCAGCCCCGCTAACGGACTCGGAGTGGCTTAGTGGCAATGCTCCTGGCGGGAACTTAGAGAAGAGGCTGTTGTCTATTTGTGACCTCCGCCCAAGCACTTGAGTATGACCTTCGTTATAAACCCGGCCTCACGGGATACGAAGAATCGGACTATCGAAGCGTAAGACGGAGTCCCTCGAATGCGTGAGAAGTGGCAGATGGGAACTGATAGTGGTCGGTGGTGCCTACATGAATGGCGTCCTTTACAGAAGGCAGTCTCCTCTAGGGGGTGGTAAGCAATTCCACTTTAAATAAAACGCTGGAGGAGCCCCAATACTTTGGGAGATAATATGACCTTCTCTATCTAGGAAATGTGTGGGAGACCAGACTGATGCATTTCAGCCACTTTGGATAGCCCTAAACGCGCGGCACACGGTTCGATGCACAATTAGGACCCGACCACTCGGAAAGGGCAAGCGGGGAGTGAGGTCCGTCTTGGCCCCTCGGAGCTGGGACAGCTTCTCCGCAAACGCTTGCGGCTGTAACACACATTCGTCGTGAGCGGAGGTGCGTCATCTCTCATCTTGAGAATCAAAACGTCCGGTAAGGCCATGAGCCAGGTACGGACGCTAAAGATCTTCATTGTGCTAACTTTGTTTCTGCACCAACAGATTAGCTGGTATCAACATGAAAAATTATTTTACCCAGGTTTCACAACACAGGTATTTCACAAGAAACTTAGGCCTCTGACCATTTCTTGTTAACCACGAAACTTACCATAATTTTTGCATTGCGTACTACAATTGTTTGAATTTCAAAAATTTAATGGGTTAAGGTTTTTTTAATATGATCCTTGATAGACTTAATACTTATTTTTTTGTGAAATTGTATGTCGGGCACGAAATGAGGCAGATCGCTCGAAATGATTGCCCTCTGACCGGAAAATGTCGACCCCGGCTTTACTCACGGTAATCGAAGTTCAAGTTCTTAGCCTCTCCTGAGAAGTTATCTGACGCGTGAATAAATTGATCTTCTTGGCTTTTGATGCCAAAACGGATGACATGTCGTTCGAATAAGTATCACGGCTGATTTCTCGCTGTCCGGTGTCGTAAAATCGACCCGAGGTCAACAAATACAGAAAACCCATGCCTAGTGTTTAATATTTTTTTAAAAAACCGAGAAAAAAGAGTCTTATCGTCTTGAATCCTCACCGATACAAAACGGCGGCCTGTTTGTTCTCGTCCTACTTCTGCCACGTCGACCACTCTCGGTGATACGGTTGGCGGACCATTCGGCGAAAACGCATACAATGGCCGAAAAGAGGCCGTTTTTGAAAAGGGCCCAAATAAATGAGTCGTCCCAGCGAGACAGACCCATGACTGTCTTTTTTTGATTGTCAGGGCTTTACATTGTCTCGGAGAATTCTTTTTGTCGTTTTTGTTAACTTTCTACTTTCCACAAAATGTCCGAGTTCTGATCGCTGGTTTATTATTACTTGTGGAAAGTAGGGTCGAGTTGAAAAACTAGTGTCATGAGAGGGATTCGAACCCACGACCTCCGGACCAGTACACTGGCGCTATACCACTCGATCTATCGTGACTTTCTCCTCCAGACTAACCATATCAACCACATTATCTGGTAATCGTATTAGATTCTCGGCTATATGAATTAACGAGGATAGTGAAGTACCTGTACTTCCATCATTACATAATATGTATATCTTTTACTTAGTCCTATTGACCAAAGTAATTATTTTAATTCATTTATTATTTTTTAAGTGGTAGAGTTAGTTGGTGTCTCGGGACAGAAGTTACTATAGCTCAAGTGATAGAAGCACGTTTGTGGGTTCGAACCCCGCTCGTGACACTAATTATTCAACTCAACTATACATAGCATAAGAAATAATAAATCAATTAAAATAATTACTTTTGATAGTAGGAACAACTAAACCATTACAGATTGTCTTTTTTAGATGGCCCGGCTGAATTTCTCTTGAGCCAACGACGCTATCAAAAAAAACAAAAAATACATGGTTAATATTTTTTAGTCTAGTTTCAAATTTTTACCTTTTTCCCCATACACGATACATCAGGCCCAGTTTATTTCCTAATTTCAAATACGACCCTATGCATTCTGATACATTATTTTAAAGAAATTTTTACGATAAAAATAATGGAATTGAATATTAAACTGGTCAAAAATGACAAATTTGTGGTAAAAAGTTTGAAAAAACAAACATTCATTTGGTTTGCTATTTATTAATCAAATTTCAGGTTCGAACTGCCTGCCTTGCGTAAAGATGCAGAGATTTGCTCTTTTTAACCATTCTTCACCCGTGCTCAGAGCGAGAGAGTCGAGGAGATGGATGGACAAGCATTTTTTACCTCCATTAGTTGACGCAGTTTTTCAACTGAGGTTGTTGGGTTATGATTGGCGTAGACACTTTTTTATTAAATGGCCTCACAGAAAATAGCCAAGTGGAGTCCTATCCACCCATCCTGGAAAAGACGATTCAAATTACGTCTCATCTGCAAAGAATTTGGTGTAGGGCATCCATCAACCTTGAGAACCATTCTTTGTCGTTGTTGCCGAGGATGCGAGAGTACGACATTCTCGGATTTTCCTGTGTCCACGTTGAAAAATTCCAACGGTTTAACATACCATTAGAGATCCACTTGGATTCATCAGTCAATTGGATGTATGGAAGAAAGTTTTCATCACCCTCCTAAATCGAGGTTTGTCCAAGGAACGTTAGACGCCTGTCATAATCAGGGTCCCAACGACCGTGGACGAGAAGAGAGCGATACAGCTTAAAATTTTAAGTCCGTAGAGCATCTCTAATTTTATTTTTTGAAAAACCAAAAACCTTCTAACATTTCGGGAGAGGAATTTGGATTTTCCTGAACATACAGTAAAAATATTTCAATTAATTAATCTTTTGTGTAAGGTATTGGTTGAAATGAAAAAGCTAGTATCAGGAGCGGGATTCGAACCCACGACCTTCCGCTAAATACACCGCTGCTCTACCACTTG